GAAGGGTATACAAAACCCTTTATTTTTCTCTATATACAATAACTTCCGTACTTCGGAATACAATGACCCGCCACTCGGGGTCTAACGTAAAAGTATAAAAATAAAACTAAACTCTAATTTAACTCTAGAATAATACACGTGGAAGATTGGCCTTATAATAACAGGAAGCGTATGTAGCACAGAGACTGTGAACACTACAATACTTTTAATTTATCAAGAGGATTAAAACCTCTGGCCTGGAAGGCAAACAGCAACTGCGTAACTTCTAAGGTAAGCGGCCTGCGTTGACTCACTGCTTCCTCTCTCTCTTGCTTGGCAAAAAGGCCACACTTAAATACTTGGCGTTCGCCAGACAAACTTTGCATAAAAACCTTCACGCTTATACTTCTGGCCGGAAGTAGAAAATAAGAAGTGATAGTAAAGATTTAAAATAAAATAAACGTTAGTAAAACTTAAGATCCTTACAAATGTACATATCTTATTTCTCAAGATTTCATCCTCTGCGGTTTCCTTAAAAAATAGGTTTCTTATGAAGGAATTACCAGGTAACCAAGAATGTTCGTGCGGTTTCTGAGAACATTTACGCCTATTTTCCTTTAACGAGTACAAATTAAGAAATAAAGCTGCAGAGGTTGTTAAATGCAGAGGTTGTTAAAGAATGTACTACGTGCTTGAAGCGATATCAGTGAGTGAAAGGTCTGCTCAAAAGTGGTTCAGCCGATTTTCGTCTGGAGATGAGAGGCTTGAAGACAAGCCTCGTGTTTGTCGGCCATCCACCGTCGACAAAGTCCAGGTGGAAGAAAAAATCCAGAATCCTCATCAAACCTTCCAGGAGGTTTCAAGTATCTGATGTAAACACTCGAACACATCTTCATAACCTTGGAAAGACATGGAAACTAAGCTAGTGGGTTGTTTCCGTCTTGTCCGAGGAGAACAAGTTCCAACCGTTGGACATCGGCTTCTCTTTCCTTTCGAACCTTTAACAGCTTCGTACTTGGACCAAATCTTGATATGTTACGAAAAATGGATCATGTATGATAACCGGATGAGGAAACATCATTGGTCTACTTATGTTTCGGTGTCATTGGTCACTAAACTAGTCGACCTTTTGCTCAGTCTCATTGGCATCTAAACAGGACATTTATTAAAAGAAGGTAATACTGAGTGCTTGGTGGATAAACGCTGACATATTCCACTAGAAAAATTTAGAAAGCGAAAAAAACCATAACATCCGATGTCTATTCGTCAAACCTACAAATAGTTTCAGCTGCATTGCACCAGAAGCAGCTAGCATCAATCAGCATAAGAGTTCTCCTCCACGATAATGCCAGACCTCATACGGCAAAAGCAACCAAAGAGGTGATCGAAATACTGAGCTGAGAAGTTCTGCCTCGACCACCTTACCCCCTAGACATGGCCCCATATTCATTATTACCTACTTTTGGTCATGGATAATCACATGAAGGAACAGGAGTTCCGAAAACCGGAGTGCCCCAAAAGCTGTATAACAATTTTAGGACTCACGTTTTTATTTATCACACTTTCAGGAATTAAAAAAAGAAAAAGATTTTTTTAACATGTAACTAAAGTTAATTGCGAATATTCTGAGGAATAAAATGGGTGTTCACGATTTTCGTGGGCCGTTTTTGATGAATAACGAAAACTCCGCGAACTTTCTTGGTTATCTGATAATTTTGACATCTCTGTTCAAGGCAACCACGATCAAGCGAGAGGAGTTGAAACATCGATTTCTAGAATGTTCGATGCACAAAAATGGACCAGCAAAATTTCTTCCTCTGCAGGTTTGTTGAAAATTAGGCTTAATGTGAAGGAACTGAGAATTTTGACATGTCTATCCAAGGTATTTAAGACCATTTCTGTGTCGCCAAGATGTCGCTCGTACTTCTGGTGCCATTAATGAAATTTCTTAAATTTATAAGTGATATATACTTTGCGTAAATCACATAAAATCTCAGTATTTGTTCACCGTAACGATGTATTCAGCTAATTTTGACATTCCTTTCGAATGTGAGTATCAGTCCTATATGTTTTAGCACGGTGCTATTAGTATTTAAATTTACATTTGGCTGTACCACTTTTACATCCGAATCATTTTCCAAAATTGTTGCCAATTAATTAATGAAGAGTCTCCATGCATGTATTTTTTTTGTACTAAAAATTCCGTGGCTCTATAGGTTCTGTCGTTTTTTTCACAATGCGATGCGTCATCCTCCCAGACTGGGGTACGTTGAAACCCAAATTTTAAATTTCAAATTTGGCTTGTGTATAATTTATTTCCTATTGGGTACAAATTTAACGAATTTTTCTTTAACAAACTCGGCGATATGAAAGCAAGAAGTAGCAACAATGTTCGAAATAATATCCAACGCACCAGACTATTGCCATCTGACAAATGTAAAATATTTCTCTTTCAATTTTTATCAAATCATTATATACTTTTTCTTTTTTAGGATAACTCTTTTAAGCGGCTGATCGCTTGTTCGGCTAGTTTTCAAATTAATCATATAGTGGATACAAAAAGATGTATTGCATCGGGAGTTCTAAAGATGTGCTGTTTTAAATATTTTGTGATTTCTCACTTGAATTTTACATGGCGTAAAGGCGAAGAAAGCGGTGACTTGATAATAAACATTTAAAGAAAAATTATTGTGTTACTAGTAGTGATTCCAATCAAAAAATTATAACCTTCGACGCTAGAAGCATAAAAAAACCTTAGCCAATCCTCTGGTGCTACGTTAAAATCTGAATCCTTTCAGCTTTTGTTTCCCTTAATTTTGATGGATATTATTTCTTTCGAATGTGAGTATTGATTTTTTTTCCCAAAATACTTTTAAATTTCAAATTTGTTAATAAATTATCGCTCACTATTATCTGCTAAAGATCAAGATAATTTAAAACTATGTTTTGCAAATACTTGCCAAATAAGCGCATTTGTCTGTATTGATTTGGAAAACAATCCCAAAGAGTATTCCGTAACGTGACCGCGAGTAACATAAAATAAGCAGAGCAAACTGTCTGAAGGAAGTATATGTCAAATTTCCCCCATACTCCTTCGAAAATAAATTTCTTAACCTTGGTTAAACCGAATCCTTCACCTCTTTTGCTGCTTGAGCTTATGCTTGTCACGTATTTCATTTCCTCTGTTGCAGATAACATGCAAATGTTTCACTGTAAACGGTTCCGTTCTTTTCATGTCACATTCTTCGCAGTGAAAATGAAAGTGTATCCTTTTTCCTTGTTCAGTTCAAGACATTAAAAGTAAGATACAAAAGTACGTGACACTCTCATGGTTTCCACTTGGTAGCTTTTTACTTCCTTGTGTGAAATAAAGGAAATATTGTAATAGCGAAAAATTTCGGGCTATTATATTTCAACAGAAATATCCATTTTGACCGTTCCCGAATCCGTTTTGACTAAACTTTTGCGTGACGTCTGTACGTACGGACAGAATAAAGTACTCTTTATTCCAAAACGCATGCAAAATGCATTTTGTGTGACGTCTGTACGTATGTATCTCGCATAACTCAAAAACAATTAGCGGTAGAATGCTGAAATAGAACTGCTATACTATCTAGCTGAGCAGCTTCCTTTATATTGCAAACGAAAATACAAAAATTATATTATATAGATATATATATATACCCACCCCTTTACCCTATCTTTATTTTCGCAATCGTCGATCGTAAATATATACTTTAATTACAGAAGTATTTTAGATGATGAAAATATTCATGTTTGAGCAATTTCAAATTTTGAAAAAATTATTTTGGGCGAATAACGAAATCTAACTTTTAATGCGGTCTTCCAATTCTTGTACTTATATTTGGGAAAGTCTTATACTCGTTATGAAAAAGTAAAATTTTAAGGAGTTTGATTCGCAAATAACAAAAACCGACCGGGATATTTTATACAAAATTTGCAGTTTTTGATATCATTTTCGGCCTGCCTTGAGGTATTGATTAATTAAGTCAGATTAATTCGAGGAAATAAGCTTAAATGAAGTGCAACAAAAAATGTGTATAATTTAATAAGTCGTACAAGGAAGTCATGAGGTGTCCGCATCATGTTTCTTTTAATCTAATTATAAGTCGAATGTTTAGTGTAAGTTTAAATGAACACTGTTTTTTAATGAAAACGTACTATTTTAAGTTTAAATTAAGTAACTAAAAATATGTAACATAATTCTGTACGAATACTTAATGTTTTTAATTAGTTTATCATGAATTAGGTGCATTTTTATTTAACTCAATCAGAATAAAAAATTAAAAAATAATTTCTTAAGATTCCATCGCATACTTTTAAATATTTAGGAGCGGTTTGAGACTAATAGCCACTTTTGGGGCTTTAGAAAAAAATAAAAATAATAATAAATAAATAAAAATAACTAATTAAAAAATCTGAAACCTTTCAGATTTTATGTTACGCCCAAAGGGGTGTAATTTTAAGGTTCTGTGTGTTACCTTTATTTAAACCTTCGCACTTAAACCTTCGGGTTCTTCGCACTTAAACCTTCGGGTTCTTCGCACTTAAACCTTCGGGTCCTTCGCACTTAAACCATAAAATTCAGTTCAACAGCAATATCGCAAAATAATTTTAAATTGAGCATATATTTAGAATTTCTGATACACAGTCTCGCGAGCTGGAGGTAAAAATGTTGCCATTGCTCGCTTTGAAATCCTTGAGTTTGTTAATCAAGAATTCGTTAAAGTTTTACAAAATACGAAATCAATAATAAAACAAATTCCAGATTTCAAATTTGGGCTTCCAGATGCCCATATTAAGAGGAGGATTACGTTATTCAATACTGTATGGCTCTAGGTACCGTTGTTTCATCACAATGCGAGAAACATACATTTATGCAGATTCTTTATTATTTAATTTCTTTAAATATAATACAGGGCGATAATATTTGGAAGCAACCATTTGAAAAGTGAAACAACGCTTATAGTGAATCAATGCAAATTTTGTCTTCAGTATATTATTATACAAGAGAGCTCAGTAAGAATTTCTTCTGCAGAAGTGAATTCAGATAAAATATTGCTCTGGAACGGCCTTATATCCATGTGAACTTGTCAATATTATCTCCTTGAAAGTAGTTTTCAAACTAGTTGACGAGCTAATAAAAAAAAATAAATAAATTTAAAAAAAAATCGAAAGGTTTCAGATTTTACATTACGTCCAAAGGGGCGTTTGTTTAACAAGTTTTATGTATGTTACCTTTATTTATTAAATATCATGTTCTACATACCTTAAACCATAAAATTCAACTTCACCAGCAATATCTGCAAAATAATTTTAAAATGAGCATAACTTTAGGAATTTACGATACACAGTCTCGCGCGCTGGAGATAAAAATTTTTTTTCCACCCCGTGTACAGTGTTGCCATTGCTCGCTTTGAAATATTTTAGTTTGTTAGTCAAAAATTCGTTAAAGTGTTACAAAATATGAAATTGATAATAAAACAAATTCCAAATTTCCAATTTGGGTTTCCAGATGCCCATATACGCAGTAGGATTGCGTCATTCAAAATTGGATGGCTCTAAGTACCGTTGTTTTATCACAATGTGAGAAACATATATACATTTATGCAGATTCTTCATTATTTAATATCTTCAAATATAATATTCGACGCAAAATCGCAAAACGAAAGCAATAGTTTCTCAGGGACAAAGTGTTCTTTTCGACTAAAAAAGTGAAAAAAAAAATGTGCTATCTCTTCTCTACTACTAAATAATGAAGGAGATGTTGCATTTGGTTTGTATTTCTGTATGTTTCTCACAATGTCGAAAACGCCGACACCTTTAGAGCCACCAAATTTTGAGTACCTACAGGTACTCAAAACACGTGCACCTCGAAACCTGAAATTTTGAATTTCGAATTTCTTTTTCATTAGCCGAAAAGGGCTACTGGCCTCGAAATGCAATTTCACATTGTTACACTTTTCTTTCGAGCCTGTTGTCATTCGGAAAACGTAACGTATTATTCTTTCATATTAAAGCTGTTCGTTATTATTCAAGAAATTAAACTATCTAAACGCAGTTCTTAAGAAATTTACTTTTGTATTTTTTGATCTAATTGATTTAAATAAAAATGCATTTAATTCATGCTATATCTAATTAAAACATTAGATCTTTTTATATAATTATATTGCATATTTTTTCTCTTTTTAAATGTACAGAAGATACATAACTTTTAGTCTAATTGCATATTTATCGAATATCCTATAAAATGCTTCGCTGTTTCACCTGGGTCATCTCTATCGATAATCTTTACTGATAAATCATTTTAAACATTAAAATTGCCCTTTTAGGCGATCGTTAAAATATGAAACCTTTCTTATTTTATTTATTTGTAGTGAATTTTGGATTATTAATAAGTTCAAATATTCGAAAGCGAGCAATGGCAACACTGTTCAAAGTAAAGCATATTGATCCTCAGCAAGCCAGGGTTCGAATCCTGGCGAATAGGTTGGCTGCATATGCGTTTTCTTGGCTGTTCTCCAACTGTAACGTGTACTCGAGTTAGTTCCCTTAACAATTCCTCCATGAAGGCATCCTTTGCCATAGTTATATAAACCAAACCAACCAGTAAGCTAGACTGCTGCCATTCACGAAAGTGTAATACATTACTTTTAATCAAGGAACTCGCCTATTTAAAAACAATGTGCTGCCACTGTCTAATATAAAATACTTTTATCTTTTGCAGTGCCAGCGCGTTGCCATTTAGTAAACGATAAGATATTTAACTTTCAAGTTTAATCTGTCTATTATTGAGTTATAAACTAAGCGATTTAAAACAATACACGCACTTCTTCAGAACACCTTTTTAATCTGATTGATCTAAATAAGCATGCATTCAAGTCATAAAATGTCCAAAAAGATATATTAAATACTTTTTTGAAATTATATAAGTTGGCCTCTTTAAAAACATATACATATATATTTCTTATTTATGATAACTAGTTTAGACAAATAGCAGTACCAGCGGTTAGTTGAGATAAATAAATCATTGCTTACGTTCTGAAAAACAATGAATTTGAATTTGCTCTTGTAAATATTTCCAGTTGAGAACAAGATTAACCTCAAAATCTTTCTAATTTACAGACCCTTCCAGCATCACATATGAGTACTCGATATTTTTATGAACTTACTGAAGTATACATTATATCTAATAGAAGAAAATTAAATCAGAAATGCTTTCCTTCTTTTTGTATTAATAACATGTTACACATATTACGAATATAGAAACTAGCGAAGGGCTGGAAACATATTTGCTGAAATTTCGTACTTTAAATATTCATGAGGAAGTTGCAGTAAGTAGTAGCATTTAATAACGCACTTACGACCAGCACTTAACGTCAGGACCAGGATGTAAACTTGAAGCTAAACTACAGTAATATATTAGGTCTTGTATGGTAATTCATTAAGTAAACTTCTGAGTAACGCACGCTAAGCCGATGATCGAAACTTCGGTGTAAATTTCTCCCGGCGTGCTTGCTGGTTGATTAATGTAGTTGAGATTTGTTGCCAGCGGACAAGGGAAAATAACAAATTTGATTGCTGGAAAATCATCTAGATATTATATTATGTGCTGCCACCATGGTTCTGTGGGGAAAGAATAGCAAATTTTGTGAAGCACTTTTTTAGGTTGCTGGGTGGACAGATTCAGCGGTTCTTGCACTAAAATTTAAATACAGCACTTTGGAAGATCATGATGAAATGATGAAGATCCGCGGTTTTTTTAAAAGTGTGCCGCACGAAAAACGGAAGTTTAATATAAAATAGCGTCCTTCGAAGAGGATTATAGAATACAGTGTGTTGTGATGAGAAAATTTGTGAACTGTTGATGTAGATAAAGAGTGTCCCCCCCCCAAAAAAAAAGCACCGGATTCGATATTCTCAGTAAAGTACTTTATTTTTAAAAAATGAAAAATAATTTTTACATACTTAGAACAGGTAAATATTCCGATTTAAAAAACAATAATGTCTGCCATATGTTTTCCACAACTTATTTTACAGCATCGTACTCTCTCGATGAAATTAATAATCACTTTCTCAGATATCTGCCTATAGAGACGACTAACGACATGTACAATTTCCTCCTTAAGTTATTAGTCCAAAGGGCTATCAATTTCGTTTCAGCATCTTGCGTTGAAAACTTTAAATGTCTGTTCATTTTTCAAACTTTTGCCACAAAATATTATCACCCTGTATTATATTTAAAGAAATTAAATAATGAAGAATCTGCATAAATGTATGTATCTTTCTCACACGGTGATAAAACAACGATACCTAGAGCCATCCAATTTTTAATAACGTAATCTTCCACCGAATATGGGCATCTGTAAGCCCTAATTTGGAATTGAAATTTGTTTTATTATCATTTCCATATTTTGTAACACTTCAAAAAATTTGTTAAACGATTTCAAAGCGAGTAATGGCAACACTGTACGAAAAAATTATCTCCAGCGTGCTACACTGTGTATCGGGAAATTCTAGAGATATTCTCACTTTAAAATTATTTTGCGATATTGCTGTTGAACTGAGTTTTATGGTTTGAGTACGTAGAACATGATATTTAATAAATAAAGGTAGCACACAAAATGTTAAAAAACGCCCCTTTGGACGTAACTTAAAATCTGAAACCTTTCAGATTTTATTATATTTTCTTTAGTTTGCTAGTGAATGTGAAATATTCACTTGAGTGAATCATTAGGAATAAGTTTTTAATTTTTGCACAACTAATACATTCAATAAATTAACTGCTTTCTTCAGTCGAAATATATTTATACCAAATTGCTTAGTTTCAAAATCATTGCAAGTGCAGAAATACTGTAGTCAATAGACTTTTGTTACGTAGAATTTTATATATATCTTAAGCTAGCTCTTATATACAGAGGCTGTTTGCACAAGTTTTTTTAACTTTTCTCATTTTTTAAGAGATACATTGCGATAACATTTCGTAGTAACAATTTGAAAAGTGATTCAATCTCAAACGTGATACAGACAAAAAGTGAGTTTCCGCATCTGGTGCTAAAAACTCCTTAGAAAATCAAGAATAGCGTTTTAGAATCTAATCACAATTCTATTTCATATTTTTTCTCGAAAAATTTGATTTTTTAGCCTGGTTTCAGTCATGAGAACGTAACTCGAGGTGTTATTGTTAATTTTTGTTGCAAAAAATTTATTTGAAAACTATTAAAAATATATTATTCAGATTCTGGAATAAAATTTTCAAATATAACAATAATAAAGCAGTCGCTTTATGACGAAAATGGAAAGTATAGTCTTCCTGATGAGTAAAAGAAAATTTCGTCTCATCTTTTTATCCTGGGCTACTTAGAGTTACTTATCTTATTTAAAAGAGACGTAATACTTCTAAATAGTTTTTCTGTTCACCTGGCTTAGTGTCTCAAGGAAATCCTAATTAATCCGTATTGCGCAACAATACGTATTACACTGTATGAACCTTTGCTGCCCACGAAGACCTTTGCTTCATTGGCATAACTTTGTGCAACGCGTCTTTTTATAAGAATCGTATTATTATGACATATACACAGTTTTTGTTTCGGCTCCTTTTCTTTTGTTGTCGCTAACGGATAAAAAAACACGTAAAGTAAAGCTGTCAAATCCCATTAGCATAACAAAAAGAAGGCTTAGATCTTCTTATGCTCTGAGTCATTTGAACTTTCTTTATGATAAAATGTCACACATTTTGCTTGTCTCTGGATTTTGTTAATAGAAACCTGGATTACGATAAGGGCCTAAACTCTAAAAAGTGTAAAAAAGTTGCAGAATGTGATCTAGAAGCAGAGATTAAAATATCATTTTTATCCAAAGTACAACTTTTAGGTAATATATTTACTCGTGACTTTTTCCTCCTAGCTTTCAAGCGCTAGGTTCTGAAAATTTTAAAAATATTCGTATAATTTCCCCCTTCTTCTGTTTTACATAATTTTCCTTGTAAAAGCTAGTTTATTGTTAAATTATAGTCTCTTGATTATTTTTATTCAGTATATTATTATTTTATTTAGTATATTTATTGTATTTGAATTTTTGTACTAGCATTTCATCAATTTTATTTTTACTTGCATTTATTACTTGAAACGAATTTTGTGCAGATTCTTCGTTAAGCTACCCGAATGTGATAGGTATTCTCACACTTAAGAAACTTTCCAAACTTATGTTTTCACTTTACTTCTATTATTTACATTTCAGCTCACTGTAACCTTATCTAATGTGTTTGATCTTTTGAAATTTGAGTCTTTCGATATCCAAGCTCTGCTTCTCCTTTGTGCCCTGTCGGCTAAATATCTGTGTCAAATAAATGTCCTGTAAGCTAAATATCCGTGTCGGCCTGTCCGTTAAATAACCGTGTAGGCTAAATGTTTTTGCAGCTAACTGTTCGTGTCGGCTAAATGCGCGTGTGTGTTAAATATTTTGTCGATTAGCTGCTGTCGACTAAATGCGCATGTCAGTTAAATATTCTGTCGACTATCTGCTGTCGACACTGATCTCATTATGATTTTTGAAAAAGGAATTTTTCGACGAACTACTTGTAAAAGCTGCGACACACTTTGTGCACCTATCATATGCTTCGCTATTTAGAATGACTGTCACAAGTCATTTATTCTACTATACTACGTTTTTGCTGTTCTGGAAAAAAGCACATGAACTTTTTATTGAATTTTACAGCTGTTTCTTTTAATGTGTATATATAATGTAATTATTTAGAAATTGGTGATACAGCAAGAAACAGCAAGATAGCAGAAAGGAAACAGCAGAGAGAATGAGACATGTCCATGAAACATACGCAATACCTGGTTAAATATGATTTAGTTTTGGTTGCTCTTTGTTTCGATTTGTTAACTTAAAATTTTGGTTCACAAATTTTACATTATTATTGATTGAAACGTTACTTAAATATCTACGTCACCAACATTATATACAAATCATGTAAGTAACATTAATTTTGAAATGAATCAATTTGGAATGATTTATTATCAGAAATTTTTATTTTTAGGACAGAAAACTGAAGTAACCAAACTATAAAGCAGAAATAAAGGTCTACTACAAATTAAAATTAGTAATTTGATTTACACACACACATATATGTATGTATATATCCTCGCAAGTAAGTACTATACATCTATACTGAAATAGTCGCAGACAGTTTTGAATTAGTTTTATTTACACTATCCAATGAAATTTAAGCACAATATATTTTTATATTACTTAATTTATACTTAAAACCGTTTCATATTGTATCACATGCAAAATTTCACTACTTGTCCCACTTTTGATCTATTAGGTAATTGTATGGTTCTGTCTTCGTAAGAAACGGACTAGGGTATTTAAAAAAAAAATAAATAAAAATAAAAATAAAAACTCCCGAGAAGTAATATCTGACTACATGAATGCCGTACTTCGTAGGAAGTAGAAGCAGCTTTACATGTTTATGCGTAAAATCCACTTTGTAGTTGATTTTTTGTAAGAGATCTATGTCTCTATGCTAAACAAGTCACAAGTTACAACCAGTGGTACTTAAACGTACATGCGCAAAAGTTTCTCGAGTATTGTTATTAGTTATGTAAATATCTAGAAACGTATAAAAATTTCCATCGATGATCCAATATTTTACAATGAGACTTTAATGATTCCATATTTTGTAAAGTCATTAACTTTAATTCGGAAGCAGGAGAGATGAAAAAAATGCAACGCCCTCGCCGGGAATCTAACCGCGGACCTTAAGAATACGCGCCCAGCGTGCAGACCACCACACCACGAAGGCATGCCAAGAAGGCGGGAGAAATACCTTATAATTTGATTGCGACTTGAAGGATTGTGTGTTTTATCTAAACCTTTTATATACATGTCCAAAACGAGTTATTATTTCATACAAAATTTAAAATAGTGTCTTACCTTGTGCAGAATGAAAACGTCGTAGACGCAGCAGATGCCCACGACGGTGATACCCTGCTCCTTGGAAAATGTAGCTAAAGCGACGAAAAGTAAACTACAGCCGAACCAGAACCAATCTATAAAAGGACAAAAATAATCATCCGAGATTTAGATTGAGAATAAAACACAAAAGACTGCTATAAATGAAATACAGGTGTCCGTAATTTAATCACCGGATAACAAAATTAAATTGCAACGTAATTTTTTGAAGTAGGACGGAATGTTTTATATCGATATAATCTTTAGTTCAAGGAATTTCATTTACTCTAATTTTTGGAAATGGCAACGCAGAATTTGTTTGTTTATAGATATAATGACGCAATGTATAGAAAAAGTGAAGTGCATTCTTTGATTAAGGGAAACGAAATCTCCTAAAAGAGTTTAAAGGCGATTCAGACATAAATTTAATAAACCTCCACCAACGGAACAATAAATCAAAAGATATTTAAGACAATTTCGAGAAACCGAACGTGTTTCGCACAAAGAGTAGGTTGGCCAAGCATCAGTGATGAAATGTTTCCTCCATATTCGAGATGTATTTGTGTGCAGTCGCAGTAAATCGATTCACCATCCAGCCAACAAACTGGAATTCCCAGGTCGAGTGTTCATAAAGTTGTTCATGATCGGTTCAAACTGATTCAGTATAAATTGCAGATAAACAAATCAAACCGTTAGTAAGGAATTTTTTTAGAGACAATCTTGACCGCATCAGTAATGAGGATGAGTTTTTGAGGAGAGATTTGTGTAACAGAAACCCCTCATTTTGTAAGAGGAATTGAGCGAGGTAGCCCTTACGTTAATGTCTGATGAGCATTAATTCATAATAAAGCGATTGGTCCCTTCTTTTCTCGGGGTCATAAATTAATTTGGATGATTATTTTTATATGCTGAGATTGTTTACCGTAATTAGAAGAAATGCAGCCAAAAGTTTTTTTCCAACAGGATGAGGCCGCCTGTCGTTGGGCTACACATGTATATGTGATGCTTGATGAAACATTCCCATATCGTTAGAGTGGTAGAGCATTTGTTCCAATTTTGTAGACCAATTTCATGCCCACTCCATTCACCACCGCACACCACTAGACTTCTTTTTTGGACAACCAAGTTTCTGCTGCAGAGATACACAGCATTGAATAACTAAAAACTCGAATCGCCGTAGAAACAGCTACTGTGACTCCGCAAATGTTTAATAACCTCTGGAGAGAAATCGAAAACAGACTTTATTTTTTCCGAGCAACTAATGGTGCTCATGTTGAAGTATATTAATATAAAATTCTCTGAAGTGCTAAGTAAACCTCAGTCAGTCTTTTCCTCTATCTCTCATTCTGTATTATGTAAAATACATCTTTACTCGGTGAATAAATTATAAACACTCCGTATGCCAGGATATTCAAGGTAACATATTGGAAGAATAATCTCCTCGGTTATTAGACACGACATTCTAAATGCTTAAATAAGGTCATAAGTTAACGATCTGTCCTCTTCCACCAGAGCACACCTTGACCTTATATAATTAATGATTGGTTCCTTTTTATTCTTCTGCAGGAACATTTTAGTCCATTAAAGACTTATGCGCAAAACCATTTTGAACACTATGTTAATTTAAGCGATCGCTTAGAGGTGCCAAGGTAAGGAGGTATCTACAAAGTTGTTGGTACCTCCTTATCTAAATGTGTAAACAAAGGGTGTTTACACATTTTTAGAACGATTTCCAGGCCATTCCATTAATGTTGAAAATGTAAATGGTGCTTTTTTAAAACTTTCGATTTGGTAAACATTTTTTCCCCGGATCATTAGTCTGCATATTGATTTCTATGATAGAAGGGCTATCTGCAAAATTTCCAGGGGTATTGATTTCCATTCCTTTTCCACTACTTTCGACAGTCCATCAATTGTGGTAGGTTTCCGCTTAGAAAGAGCTCTTTTCGAGAGAATGCATGCTCAGTACTTCATAAGTGAAACGTCAGAGAATTTTGCAGGAATATGCTAAAAAAGATATATATGCAAAATCTATATCAATCTTTATCTTTTCAAGGACTGAGTGCTATTTTTCAAAGTATGAATAACTAAAGAAAGACAAACAAAGAAACAAAAGAAAGACAAACAAAGCTATTTTTCAAAGTATGACTAATTTTCAAAGTTTGTCTTGATGAAGTTTCACTCTTTGAAAATCATTCGGAAAAGAAGTGGAATTTCTTTGAAGAATATTGGACATGAAACTTGCTCTACACAAGTTACAGTTACAGTTAAAGAAATTAAATAATGAAGAATCTGCATGAATGTGTATGCATGTTTCTCTCCTTATGAGAAAACGACGGTACCTAGAGCCATAAAAGTTTGAGTAACGTAGCCCTCCACCTGAATATGAGCACCTAGAAGTCCGAATTTGGTATTTTGGATTTGTTTTATTGTCTGTTTCATATTTTTTATTTAAAAAAACTCAACGATTTCAAAGCAAGCTGTGGAAAAACTGTAGAGCATAAATTATTTTTACCTTCAGCGCGGTAAACTGCCTATCTGAAATTCTACTAAAGTATGCTGTTTTTAAATATTTTCAGTACGAAGCGGCGTTAGCTCAAATGCTCTCGAAACATGTATGCGTCTGTAAATGAAAACATGGCCCGTTTGGGCGTAATATAAAATGTGAAAACTTTCAGATTTTACATTTTTATATTTATCTGATAAATATCCACAGATACAGATGTATGTGTCTACTTGAAGAATATATTGCAATCTAAAATTTAGCTTAAATATTATCTTCTTGAGTGCGACACATACACTGCCTCGGCTCTGGTTATGTGAAGCATAAATTTAAACAATGAAACATAGATTAATCATAAATTATATACAGTTTTCTTCCTAGGACAATAGCAACCATAAGCGCGAACACGCATGTACAATTTAGACTGGTGCATATACTAAAGGGTGATACATAAGTCGCGCCTATAAAACTTGTGGAAATTACAAACTGGACTATTAATGTCAAATTATTTCAATAGGTGACTGTTACAAGTAGGAAAGCTCTTGAAATTTCGGTTGTAGTTCATGTAGTTAGTTTTAAAACCTCTTCATTTGGTATAAAATGGAGATGAGATTTTTCCTAAGCGCAGGAAATTTTTATGATTGAGCATTTTTTCATTTGTGTTTCATCAAAAAACATTAGTGTTTTTGAGGAATGCATGTCTTTTAAATAATAGTCTCATTATGACATTTTTTCATGCTTTCCCTAATAGCATTTGGCCCTCTAGGTATAGCATTTGTCATTAGGTATAGCATACACTGGGTATATATACTTCTAAGTATAGCATACACAATGCATAGGAAGAGTGTATAATTATTCTCATATTTAATTCTTTAGTGAAAACGCCATACATCTTATAAAATACCTAAGTATGCCATAAAATATTCATACACTGCCAGTAATTTATAGATTATATATAAAAAATAAATATAAGCAAAATTTACACAGGTATTAAATATATATGGGCATGTTAAAGTTGATAGCATGATGTAATTCAATAAAGACCCATATACTGCAACAAAAACTTGTAATAGCTATAGCTAGAAATTTTGCTATAGCGTTTCTACTATATATAATCAAATATTGGTGAAGAGATCTAGTCTCAAGAAGCTAAGAAATTTCTTCTCTCTGGAAGGAAAAGGGTATTAGAAATCCTTCTCGTATCCCCCAGAATGCCCATAACCTCCAAATAATAGTAAATCCCTCCAGGCACACTTTTTTGCTAGTTTGATATAAGCAGTTTAAAAATTCGGCTAAAAAAGAGAGGGAAAGACTTTCTGTTTGGCCGATGCAGTTTCTGGATACAAAATTACGTCATTAGCCGGAATCCACTTACCGGATTATCACTGCGTCTCGTCCAAAATTTGCATATTTTATAACACGTGACAGGTATTAGTTCTTGAGTGTTGTGTCCAACGGAGATTGTGAAAGCATAAACCTGATCCTCTTCTTAACGGGATTGAAACTCCAAAAGATTTATTTAAGAACTTTCCAGGGATTGTTTATATATTACTTTATTTCTCTCATGGAATATATTCTCAGATGCTGGGATTTCTTTACATGGCGCAGTGAAGAGAATGTACCGTGGAATGCTATTGCAATGTCTCACTATTTTGTCAAGTATAAAACTTCTCTTTCCATTACACGAAAAAAACGTTACCTGATGTAAAAGCAATTTGCTAAGGCAAGTTAAAATTTCTGGAACTGATATTTTAAAATGTATTTCCTCTCTAAATGTTTATGATAACTTTTTTCCCGTCTCTATTTAAAACGAGATGAGAAATTTCTTAAAGAAAAGCTTTAAAAGCTTTTATATAAATACTCTGTTAATTTAGTTAATCCACATTTTTAGCTATAAATAAATAATCTGTTCGACCCTATAAACTTCTGAACTAAATAAATATATAAAGGATTAAAATAAATTTAAGAAATGGATAAAAAAATAGATTGGAAAAATGCAGGTCTGAAATCGTTTTAAATAAAATGTGTCAGGCACACTCTGAATAAAATATATCATGCGTATTGTACATCGAATGAACAATGTGTGTTATTAATAATATCTGAAAAAAAGTGAAGTTGCGTTACCTACTAGTCAATTTTAAAAACGAAATACTATAATAATATTTACTCTTCATTACATAAGATGGACATAAGCAATTTTTCTATTTAAACAAATTACATACTGAATACGATTTGTTTCCGTAATACGTATGTGACTAAAATTCTGAAGAGCTACTACAGTGTACAAGTCAAAAGGGACAAAGCGATTTTCTTATAGAGTTTTAAGCTGGTTCCCAGCTTCCTCAAAGGATGTTCCTCAAGACAGATTTATCTGCCTTAATGTCTCCTGAATGTCTGCTTTCGACTCATTAAAACTACAAGTTAAATAAATTAAAATAAATAAACAATAAATTAGGATTAATGTGTTATTTTAATGTCATTTTTATGAGAAAATGAAGTAACTTTTGCACATTTGAAATACATGTCGCATTCAATGATTTTAGTACAACTAAAAATAGATATAACGCCTAGAAAGAGAGCACGCTTATCGCACAT